GAACCAATTTCTATATTTATACTCAGTTTAACCCCTGAACTGTTCCTGCAATTAGCACCTGAGGTTCTCCCGCCCGCACAACTTTGTACAAATCTATGGAGGGCATTGGAAGTGTTTCTTGCAGCTTTTGTGCTTTTCTAATAGATAGTTTGGCGGGTCTTGTCGCAAAGCCATACCCTCAATGTTGCACTCCTGGGGAACTCTAGGACATGATGCGCACCTTTTCTATCACACTACTGATGTTGACACATTCCACCTCCCGCCTCCCAGGATTAGGACAGAGCGCGGCCGAAGTCCCACTCACTGAAAATGAATGGCCGAGTGATAGCCGATATGGAACCTTAGGTGCCAAGGAATGTCCAGGGTGTTCTTCGCTTGTTTAGACTGTCGCCTGTTTTGTAGTGTACGTCGNATTTCGGCGTGTCAATAGCCTGCGGCATGCAAGACAAAACTTTCGAACATCCCCAACCGCCTCTGAGAAGAGTTCCTTCTAAACCGTGTTTTCGACAAATCAGAGCTCGACGATATGTGCACCAATCAAGTATGAGCGTGGTATATCTGCCGTTGCGGCGCCTAGTCGTGCGTGGGATTCCGTCGCTTATCTATCAAGAAAATATCAATCAAGCCGTCTACCTTTTTAGTCTGCATAACCCTTGCCCGCGACTTCTGTGGACTTAAGGTACCTGCTGGATCTCCGCACCCAGGCCCTCTGGCGCGTATGTCTAAGGACACCATGACCACGCCTGTATCGTGGTGAAAGGTTTAGCTGTCGTATACGAGCTAATCGATCCTGCACACCGCCTTTGTGTCCTGTTGGTCCTGCACGGCGTAAATCGTCCCTCTTTGGATTGCGCTAAAAATGGATAATTTGTGTGGGATAACGGTCGTGGAAATACTTCAGGGGACAGAAATGAAAAATCTGAGCGCTCAGAGCCATCCGGTGGCCGTTGCAACTCCGCTTGCTACGGGGGGAGGGTGGCGGTCGTCTTCATATCCGAAGGTAATAACACTTAGGACTTCGCACGATCTAAGTATCCCCTGACACGGCACATGCGATGCAAGCATTGATCTCTGCCGGGTACTACCCAGCTCTTCATGATTGCTTGGCCATCGACAAAATCAAATGTACAGAATTTCCCGAGCCGCTGAGTCTTCTTTAAAGCCATACTAGATGCCGCCATTCCTTATAGTCTGCATTGAGTAGGCAGGAGAGTTTTATTACTTCGGAAGGGCATTAGCAAAGTACGCTGATGATTAAGGACCGTGCGTTAGTCCTTACCTGGACACTGGCGACCATTGAATTGCACAATAAATCGCGGACTCAAACTGAGCTGGATGTTGCCGTGTAGGTGACATTAACTGCGAGACCATACTCCTTGAGATTGACCTACAGATCCTCATGAGGGATCCTACCAGACTTCGGTGAGTTCGAGCTACATCACATCTGATTGACTTCTCAACTTCGAAGTGGTCACGAGGTCAATCTGCAGGATATTTTAAGGCCGTTATTCTGGTGACTATGCGCAAACGTTCCGCATTGATTTCATACTCCATCTACCTCGCTTTGCTAATGATAGACGTCATGCAAAATGGGTATTACGATGCTTAATTCTCGTGAACCAATTTCTATATTTATACTCAGTTTAACCCCTGAACTGTTCCTGCAATTAGCACCTGAGGTTCTCCCGCCCGCACAACTTTGTACAAATCTATGGAGGGCATTGGAAGTGTTTCTTGCAGCTTTTGTGCTTTTCTAATAGATAGTTTGGCGGGTCTTGTCGCAAAGCCATACCCTCAATGTTGCACTCCTGGGGAACTCTAGGACATGATGCGCACCTTTTCTATCACACTACTGATGTTGACACATTCCACCTCCCGCCTCCCAGGATTAGGACAGAGCGCGGCCGAAGTCCCACTCACTGAAAATGAATGGCCGAGTGATAGCCGATATGGAACCTTAGGTGCCAAGGAATGTCCAGGGTGTTCTTCGCTTGTTTAGACTGTCGCCTGTTTTGTAGTGTACGTCGTGTAGGGCCCGAAGTCAAAACTGGCTTCGAAAATCGTGAGTTAATGTTACGGGCGGAAATTTCGGCATGGAACTTGGTGGAATGTTGGATACAATCGCCCTCAATAGGGTGACCCTTAATACACGAGGTTTCAATTTATGAAGCGAAGATCATTATGGGCCGTTAGACTTCAGCATACAAAATTAGAGACATTCATGGCTCTTATGCCTAACCGTAATCGCTTGATCGACGTGGTTCGAGGACGTTCTGGCAAAGTTGTTTCCCGGAGAGAGTTGCTATTCCGCCATCAGTCGTTTGTACAATCAGAACAGAAGCAGTAAACCGGGGTGAAATTCTTAATCGAATGCACCGTTAGAGAGCCGCATATCGACCGGAATCGTCATGCCTGGACGCAGTGTATCCACTAGTATATACAACTAATCAAGCATATTTCTTAGGTCCCCCATATCGTTTGGGACTGCCGGTAAGTTCCAGGATTTTAATCAAGAGGATTCGAAACAGTGGCTCAGTACCCTGTGAATGTTCTGCGAAAATTCACAATATACGGTTTGGTTTCACCTGTCACCCTCCAAACTTTCAGTACACTCTGCAATTTTTATCTTCACCCGGCCTTACTGGGACGGGTTATTCAAGGTCCGATGCGAGCGACCACAGTGGGAGCCCCCCCCCCTCAAAATTTGGAACCACTTTCAATAGTTCAGTCTCTGGCCACTTTTACTGAGCCAGGACGCTGCTATCATCCCAACAGATGACTCCCCAGCATCGATTAATTTGTAGGAAAAATTTCCAAAACGCTATTTCATCATTCACTCACCACGTTTTCATGAGTGTTTATAACTAGAAGGCTCCTGAATCGGGACGACTGTTGTCCATTCAACAGTTTTCGGTGCTGTTTGGATCACTGTCCGCTGTCTCCGTATGCATAAAACGTGTGTTTATCCTCGTTTTCAGGCTCGTTTTGGCGAACATTCGGTAAACCCCGGAATCAAAGCGATATCCGTTTCATGAACCGTCCCAGCGATCGTCATCGATACGGGGTCTCTCTCGGAGACGATTCTTATTAGGCCTCAGCGGAACTCGGAGACTACTGCGTTGTTATCTGATTCCTAAGAATATGGTCACTCGTTTTTTATTAACGACGCAGCACTGTCTGTTGATGCGTTACCACTGAGTCGAGTTCAGCTAGTGAGTTGATTCATCCCCTCGGGACTCTGAAAGCTCCTTAGTGTGCGGGGTGACGTGCCCACATTTGGTACTGTAATACTCGAGCATGGCGTACCGTCATGCATAGCACAGTCATCCTGGTGACCGGAGGCATTTCATTCCTTACAGAGGTCTACCTTCATTTCTTATTTATTCCTTGAACTTTGCGAGACTGAGTTCGACTTCAGTAGCACCAATTAGCACCCTGGTGCTACGCGCACGCACTACATTAATACGTTCACCACGCCAGTTGTGTGGGCGCATTTTCTGACAGCTTACGAACTGCCGTCCTTTTCACTCCTCCTCCCCTCATAACTAGGAGAGGGCCGTCCTTTTCCTCCCCTCATAACTAGGAGAGGTTTGTTAGTCTTCCTCTACATCTCTAACCGCGTGCGATTTATTAGGCTTTATAAGCTTGACACAGACAGGTTCAGTAAGCAGGTACACGAGTGAGAGGTTGAAGGCTCATAAACTGTATCGGTAAGTGTGGCTTCTGATCCCAGACCGGCTTTGGAATTGTAGCTCAAATTTCCTAGTCACGGCCTATTGCCTATCAAATTTCGAACAAATACCTCTACTGAAGAATCATCATCAACACCACCGTTAGTAGCAACAACAGGGGAAAACATTGGCACACTGCCACGCAATCATGTTAGCTTTTTTGAACAAAGCGTTCTAATTTAAAGAAAAATGCGACAAGGGTGACCTAGAGCTAGCCTACTACAAACGCCTGAGGTGTATACACCTCCAATCCTTGGTCAGACAATTTTGATAGAAACTAATATCATGAACCAAACTAGCATCGGTTAGACGCAATATTATCCAGTAACGAAAGCACAGGGAGAGTCACATATAACCGGACCTCTGCCTCTCGACTTCCTCTGTCTAGGCTTGGGCAACCTGGCAGTATCCCAGTCCTCGTGCTTCCTTCAGGTGGCGTGGCAGCTAGGCACCGGAAGGGTGCTGCAGCTGAATGATTACTATTACTAGAAGACGAATAGTAGTGGAAGCACCCAGGCGTTCCTTGAAACCCCCCTTCTGCCCTGACAAGTTCTGTCGACCTCCAGGTTTCCACCACTCCGAATTCGGCACGGCAAGAAACGCTCTTTTCGGTATGCGTAACCCACGGCCCAATCACCTTAGCTTACAGTATTGGGTGAATTTTTTTAGTGAAGTCCCTTTTGCTCCACGAAAGACTCGTTTCCTATACGCATTGCGGATTGGCTGGTTTTTAGCCCTTCCAGCTGTAGTTCTGAAAATACGTGGTCAAAGACCTGAAGATGTTTCGGATCCTTCCCACGAAGTGGCCAAGTCCAGCAGGTGGACAACAATATGGTCCGCACTGGTTTGATACACGCATCCTCTGAGGCCCAGTGAGATGTTTTTTTTTGCGCCACAAACGGTACCAAATTGGCAAGTGCAGAGAGCGATTCATGCGTTGACTTTGGCTGTCACGCAGCTCACTTCATTTTACTCAGCTACACTGACTCATGCACTCAGCTTTCCCTCTTCGCATGTGAATGCGTAAATTTATCTAAGCATGCATCCGATCTCCGTCCAGTAACATCCACATTCCGTTTTTATTTCACTGTGTCAGGCAGTACCATCTAGACGCGCTCCAGTCAAAATTCTTAGTGAATATGAATAACACTGAGGTAACAATCATCCCACATAAGAACGGAACGCTACCAACCTTTTGCAGACTGCTATTTAATTGGTATCTTTCTCTCTTTTAGGCTTTTCACGTCTGCAGCGCCTCTTTCAAGCAACTTGACTGTCATAATGGACTGGTTGATGGGAAAGGCGAGAGGTGTCAGTAAAGGTTTGGTCAATACAAACAGCAGCACTTTGCCGGTAGTCTCTGATTCTGTTGTTCAGAGTAGTCCTACCTCACCTGGCACAGTTGCTATTTTATCAGGAAATGTGGAAGGCGATGTGAAAGGTGTCTCACCAACCAGCTGTGAGCCGTTTATTCCTAACGGCTCTCGCAGTGTATCCCCTGTTTGTAGCCCCACAGCCCCAGCGTTCGTATCCACGAGTGCCACAAGTTCGGGTTCCATCTTTGGACAGCGAAGTTTAATTTTGGGAAAGGGGCCTTCTAGCTCCAAATCTGCCCCAACTAGCCCTGAAACTGGGGCTTCCGATTGTCCACTCTTCATGCAAGAAAAATATGTAATGCAACAACTTACCGGTTCCAACCCCTCAAAATATGTAGACTTTCGTGACCTTGTGGAGCCTTTTCCGGCAATGGACCAGAATGAGTGGCTGGCTGCCCATACAATCGCTTTGTTTGATAATATGAGTACAGTTTTTGATGCGGTTCACGAGCTTTGTACATGCAGTCAGTTGCTGCCCGACACAATGTCTTTTGTCAGTGCCTCTGTTTGGTCGAACGCTATTGATTCAAACTCCGTGGCTAGTCCGGATGAAGACAAAAGCAAGAAGAGTAAACACTCTGGTACAGTCGTAAACAATTCACCCGGTCCAGCTCGTCAGCAGATTCATAGTGCACTCTCTTCCTGTCAGGAACTCATTCAATCTGCGCGCATTTTTCCCGTCCGCCAAGGTGAACCTTTTCCACCTGATCTTCCAAATTATGTCACCTTAATTTGCAAGAATCTGTTGTTGTGTATCATGCACCTGTATTTTGCACATTTTCACCATCTTGAACAGCTGGAGTTAGTTTCACATTTAAACACGTTGGCGAGACATTTCTTTGAATTCACCACAAGGTTCTCACTCGTGGAAGACAGACATCTCGGTCCACTGAGCAGCTTTTACCGTGTTCTCCTTGACTCTAATCCAACGCTGATCCAAGCCCCAGTCACTCCAGCATCAAATAGTACATAAATGTTCTTCATGGTTTGAAAACAAGTAGCTGACCGCATTGTTACAGTATTTGCATTTATATTCGCTTTCCCATGATGTGCAATAATTTCGCTTTGTGATGCATTATTCTCATCTGATTGCATCCTGAAGGAGGACAATCGGAACACTGTGATTCGGCGATTTAAGCGTACATCTCTCATCTGATATCTCCTCAGTTTACTTGACCCACGACTTGTCTTCATGTCTGTAAACTCTGTTAAAACGGTTGCATTCCACATGTTCAAGACCAAGTTCCAATTAATTAATACTCCTCAATGACCCTCTTCTGTTTACATGGATTTGTTCTGATATCCTAGGCAGGGAGTCGCATCACTGAAAGAGCTGGCAGACTGTGACCAAGGAGTTAACACAAAAATTCCGAAATCACAAGTTGTTTGTCCTTTGTTTGCATGGCTTTGCGGTCAAGTACACTGATGATTATTTCCCTTTGGTTGTGTGACGAGATTTATTTGCATCCTATTGAGTGATTCTCATGGCAGCCTCAACTTCGTGCTAACTCAAGAACTGGTGGCAACATTGCGGCCCTTTCTGGCTACTACGGTCCACGATTGAATGATGCGTGGTCCCTAGAAATGTGTGAGTTCTTCCATTATTGGCAGTAGATGCTAGACAACTTTTGCCCAACGTCAAGGTCACGGTTGCCTAGTGGGTGCATATTTCGAAACAGATTACTGCATCTCAAAAGTCTGTTTCATACGTTTTATGGAAGATGTGTATTACATATTGGCGTAAACTACGAACTTATGGGGTCAGTCAAGGGTTCTTAGTATTTTTTACTGCAGGTGCTCTAGATTTAGCTGGTGCATATTTGCACATGCCTAGATTTGAAGCAGTACGACCCATTCCTTCTGATGACACAGAAAAGGTGCGGTAGGGCTCAACCGATTCCTTTCACTAAGTTGGAAATGAGGTCCATGAACGGGCGTCATGGCATCCATTGGGATACACTGAGGAACCCTGTTAAAGAAAATTTGTCAACTACCTGAGCGGTCCGTGTTAGCATGACGCGAGTCAGCTCTGAGACACTGCGGATGAATCGCACTCATTACGCTTATTCGGATGGCACTCTGCTCTTAGTAAATCACCCCAGTTATCGGCACTACCTCCGAATGTATCCTAATAACAACTAATTGGTAATGATGCTTCCTGATAAAGGCAAGCTTGCGTCTTGCTTTCTCTATACCCTTGAACACCGTTTGAACGGCTGCCCTCGGGACATTGAAGAATCGCTCTTTGACTTGAAGTGCGTGGTTGGTATGACAGTAATGCGTTGTGGCATGTTTGTAAGCACTATCAATATATTCTGACATCTCAACTCTCATGAACACAAAGTGGCTCGGGATCAACACTAATTAACCACTAGATGTGCCATGTATTGCTTTGTTTTTAGAGTTGGTGGGGGATACCAAATGGTATGACCAGTTCAGAGTGGATGAAGCTTGTGCTACTAGGAAATGTAAGTGAGTCGGTTTCTTTCTCAGTTACTGACCTAGCACTTGCAAACACCGGTTATATTCAACGTCTAAACGATACCACGGTGTATTCGTCAACCGAGACCTTTACTCTTAAACAGGAAAGTGTATTTCGGAGCGCAAGTTCTCAAAACAACATAATTAGCGGTCATGTGCTGAGTTCAAATGGTAATGGGTGCATTTGGGTAATCGACGACGCATCTCTCCAGTGTCGCCCACTGGTCGAAATTGCATTCAGGTTCGCGGTTCGTCATGGAAATCGGATAGTGACAATAATTGGATGTCAAATCGATTCGATTAGAATTATATTGGAATGTTACGATGGCAGCACAACGTTGCATAAAGCGCCGTCATTTCGAATAGTCCGTGAGAGTTGCGTTGCAGCCAGATAACGATTACGAGTCCCAATTAGAATTTTGGTTGCTGACAACTCCTCTAGGTCTTTCCAGTCCCCGGAAGCTGGTGTTCCTTGTGGCGCATGGCGATGAACTTGTTTCATCCATTTCAGTGGTGGCTTGTGACGTGGAATCTCCCAGGACGATCGAGAAAGTTCCTGAGGGAATGAATATGCTGGAAATGTCAGCACATGTATCCCCTTAGAAAGCCCTTCCCTCAAGTGTTAGGACCAATCTGTGGGAGAAAATGTCACAAGTATGCAGTGGGATTTCTACAGGACTGCTTTAGAGGTGCCATCTTCCTGAATAGTCCGAGTTGCTTTCGTTTCGCATTGCCTTGTGACCACATGAAAATCCTGTGTGTTCCGAAGGCCTAAATGTTTTGGTTGGTGGCTGATGGCTAGGCGTGTATAGTAAATACGTCGGTCAGCGTAATCTCGGAAGCCTCATTTGATCTTCTGATGGTTCCGATTCACTGCCAAGTACTGATCTAGCACTTATGTCGCAGACTAGTGAGCTGCCTACTGCCATCATTCGAAGGTACCGGTGATCATGTTTTAAAACAAAATTCAGGTAGGCCTATGCCAAAGTGGGTTTCTTCCAACCTATAACAATGCTCCATAAATCACAAACCGAGGCAAAATGAACAAAATCAGTGTTGCAGAATATCGGCGATGTAAAATTTACGGAAGCCGATTTCTTAGCTAGCTCTTTTTACTAATTTTTGGGTGACCTTGAAAGATGTGACTTTGTCACTGACTGGCACCGATTTCGGAGTACGTCATCAGTTACATTAAGCTAAAATTGGATAAGTATTTTAATCCCTGCCGGTCTACTTTGAAAAACGGCATAAATGAAGCGAAAGATGACGGTAGTGAGTTCCATTTGGGCTACCGAGCAACTCGGTACCTCTGTTTGCAGTCCATGTTATTTAATCTATATTACATCATGTTTATGCCAGGAAATAAACTTAGTCGAATACTAAGGAATATTTTATGCGAAAAAAGCATGATTTGCAGGCATCTGCAGTTCTTGCACAACGTCTCCACGACCTAGTACACTTGTTTAACACTAATCCCGAAGATGGTCCGATCCAATCTTTTGAGAGACCAGAGGTCCCCTTTCCCAGTGGTGACATTTTGAGGGATTACTTTAGACTGAGCTATAATATGGTCTTAAGGGTGAAATTAGTCTCTTAAGGTAACTTGAGATTTACTATCAATGGACATGGCAAAAAGACTTCTGATGGACATTCTACTGGTTTTGTCAGTTTTCCGTTGGAGTTATTCTGGAAACAATTTTCCCTTTTCTATTGCTTTAACGGTCGTTTTGACGCGAACTGTAGTCCAGCTCCAAGTGTTTTTTATCAGAGGGAGGGTTTCGCAGGGTTCAGGTTGGAATTATGTCCCTCCAGCTTTGCAGAACTTACTAGCTGGAAAGCCGAGAGCTGGTCCGATTCATTTGTTGTTGAAATCACTGGATGCTCGTTCCTACCATTTTGTAGTTTCCGCTTTTGTCCGATAACTACCATGTATCGTACGTCATCGCAGACAGATGTTTTCTTCAGGATATATGTTGGCACCATATGAAGCGTCTATTCTTACTTGGAGTGTATGAGTATAATTCGACTCAGATGAATCGTTAATGCCGTGTATGCATGAAACAATAGTCCTACCCCAGTTCCCACCATAGCTGTCTCAGGGTTTCAGATATTGTATTTGTGCGAAACTCCGACACGTTTTATTTCCAAGACTTCTACCAGCCGGAACTCCCATTTTCTGTTCATCGGGCCATCACCCTGTACGGAGTAGGCCCTATGGTACCATAACGATCTGTCAAATGATTGGGGAAACAAACCTGACCTAGGAACAAACATCTGAGCGGTTAACTTTCACGTGCTTCTACATTCAGGCTTCAACTGAGGTTATTATTTTTACCCTGGAAGTTACTATCGTGCAGCTGATATTTCGACACTGACTGTTTGCCTACTCGGTAATGTTTTTTCCCCTGGTCACTCTCTCTTATCATTGTGTTGCTAGTTACAATTTCCTGTTAACTTACCATTTTCTGTATCAAGGCTGCTGAACTCGGTGTAAGCGCGCCTTAAGCCCTGTGCTGCACGTCCAACGGTGATCGCTTTGTTGTTTGTGAGAACCAGTAACACTTCATTGACGTCCATCCCACTTTGTGCATTTGTTTGTCAAAATGGTCTTTATGGGCAGAATTATGAATCACTACTCCGACCAGCCATGAAGTAAAGAGGCTACAGAAAATCTCCTGCCTATCGTTAATAGCCTATTTATGAATAAACTGCCTTGGTCATCGTCATCATTACCAGTCACGAATAGGTAGAAACTAGCTTCAGGGGTCCTAGGTGTCATAATATTCTCATTTTGTAGAAATATCTTGCGATACTTAAATGCCGGGTACGTCTGCTGGTTGTTGACGTTAGCTGAGCTTGACAATGTGCAAGCAAGTGTTTTCTTCCCATTCCGAGACATCATCAGTGAGTGGTTTCCAGCTTGCGTATCTCGTATCATCTTGTAATTGCAAATTACCGTACTCCCTGTTTTATGGACCCCGATGCGATATTGTCATGTTGTGGTTTTCCTTTCCCGCATATGACTGTTGCCGTTTATTCTGTCTCCATTCTGATCGATACATTTGCGAGTTGCGTTTTATGGTGGTCTGTCTTCCCCTGATTGGCATTTGTTCTTCTGTTTTCAGTAGCTGTTGTGGTTGGGCTCTGTTTGTGAGCGTCTCTGCCTTTTTGTTTGCTTTATGTGTACATGGATTCGTATTTATGACTTTCCAAATCCTGATGACCAAGTCAATTTGTATTGGCTCATTAAATTAGCACTACTTAGAATGCGTAGGTTTGAATTCCGATTTAATGAAAATGGATTGAGCGAAGCGAAATTTGGGAACGGAATCGGAATCGTTATTCGGTTCGGGACGGTGTACTGAGAGTTTCCGTGGAGTCCAGCAACGGGGTCAGAATATAAGGATTGTTCAAATCAGGGTAGTGTGAATCGACCATTGACGGAGTCCATAACTTAATACAGGTAAATAATATGTAAATTTGTCCTTCATT